TTTACAGAACTCGGGGCGCTACAATTGCCTTACAATTTTTATAACACGCAACTAAATTGTTCTAAAGAATTGGACAAGGTATCAGAACAAGTAAATGTCTTGAGTTCAAGTCTCTCCGAAAAGCTACTTAGACATTTTTTAATATAATTTATAAAACTTGTGACACTCACGGATGCTTCCTACACATGCCTTGTGCACTTGAACGTGTGTGGCACGTCTGGTGCACGTGCTTGACACACATCGTGTATGTTTTAATTTTAAGGGCTTTTTGCACTTTTCATTTACAACCTTCTAGAAAATGTTACTAATCTATTCTCAACCTTTTTTGAGCATCAAATACCCAACCCTTTACTTAATTGCAAATCACGTCACCATTGACAGAATTCGTCCCTTTTAACTATTAGGGTCGCATAAAAAGATAGTTTCATACTTCACTCATTTAAATAAACGAAAAGTAAAAACCAGAACAACAAAAAATGAAGATAAAAATAAAATATTCACACAAACCCAAGAATAGGACATCTTCTTCCCTCCACAAACCGCACTTTCCTCCACAATGTTGGCCAATTCAGAATTTTCAACCCTGTTTGACTCCATATCAGCCGTTGCCAACCTTCACAACAGTGGCCCAAACATGGCCATTTTTTCGAACTTCAAATCCACTGGCTTAGCACTGGGGCCACACCCAGATGGGAAATCCCGAACTGCAGAGACTTTCCTGGGCTTGTATTCAGCCACAAAACCTATTTCCAGTGACCAGTTTTTAGGGTTATCACAGGATAATTCATTGATCGACACGACACTTTTATATGTAATCAATAAGCAAAATTCCATCAAGCCAATAGTGAAGAAAAATTATTGACAGTGACAGCAAAAAGTAAAATTAAGCTCAAAAATGAAAATTATTCTTATTGATTGGGCTTAACTGAAGTGTCGAATGACAGCACGTATGCTACACGTCTCTTGCACATGCGTGACATGTCCCGCATTGACATGCCTCACACACCTGTTTGACACGCTTTGTGCGCGCCATAATTTTGACACAAAAGGTACCCCTCCTTGACACATTAAGGACATCGAAAACCCCTTTTTAAATTTTTGGGAAAAATAAGGAACTGTTTAGTAAAAATTCAAAATAATATGAGAAAAATCTATGAACTCAAATTTGTTATGTATCCATTTTAAGCATCTTTTATCTTTCTGATTAATGTATATGTAATTTTATTTATTGCACAAAAATATGGTCTGCAATACATAACCAAGTCGTGCCAATCCTGTGAAATGCTTGTGCATCCAGGAATTAGTCTAGAGAAAGAAAAACAAATTGGTTTTGAACACAACCCTGCATGGACGTACGGGTGGAAAGTTTTATCCTACCACTGGAGCTGCTGGCGAGGTTGGTACCATGGGCGGAGAAGGATACTGCGTAAATGTTCCAAGGAGTTGAAGATAAGTTGACGACAATGACTGTGTATATATGCGTTGCAGCACGCCGTTCTTATTATATGTGGGCTTTAGTAGTTCTCTAACACTATTGGACTAGTGCTAGATGAGACATTTGTATTGTTGATTATTCTTTACTTAGCTGCTTAAGTGTCACCCACTTAT